CCGGTCTAACATTGCGGTCGACGATTTTGCAAGCACTGGGTGAACTCACCAAAGAAGTACTGCATCAACGTGCGGTTGACAGTACCCTCCTCGAGAGAACCAAAGGCGATGATTGGCGCTGCGACTTCACCCAGACTGAACTCTTCGGTGGAAGCGGTGAAGGTGTAGTTTGGGTTCGTTGCTCGGCTCTCCAACTGGCGGAAGATCTTGGAGTTGGCCAGCATCTTAGCTGTTACCACCTCCTCCGTCCACCACTGCTTCGATACATTGTATACCGTCTCGTTGAAGACGTGGTTGTTGCCAAATGCCGCATCGGTACGCGTCAGGCTGGCGTCGTGCTCGAGGACATTGTGGACGTTGAGCTGTTCGAGCGTAAAGAAAGTCGCGTTCGGTTCGGGATTGGCAATGATTGCTTGCTGCCACATAAGCGCACCGAGAGACGTGTTGAAGTTCAAGCCGTCCTTCAAGCCCTTGACTACATTCTCTTGAGTGAAGTTACGGCCATCGCGGGGAAGAAAGCCGTGGTTCGCTAGGGTGTTAAGCATCGGACATGGGCCGCGGACTGCGGATATCGTCATTAGATCTTCGTTCCACATAAGAGCCTGTATACATACAGTCATTTGGCGACGCCGCCATCCAAGCATGAGGATCTGAGGGTGCGGCATCGTACTGAGGTTTCGCCGAGGCGAGCGTCGCGGTGGAAGCGACGAAGACGGTAGTAAACTTCATGATGGAATGGAAGATAGTAGTGATGAACGGATTGTAGTCACGAAGCGAATTGAGTCGCTGTGTAGGCTGTTGTTGCACCACTGACAAGAATGGAGCCATGTCTTATATATCTCTTTGAAGACCCCAGGTATAACAGTTCTAAAAGCAACATTAGTAAACACCTTCCTCCGTATGGTATACGCGTAACAGTTATTGCTAGTTTGTGGTACCAGCTTCGCAACCAAGACCGGATAGATAGTAATGAAGTGCCAGCATCCCAGGTGATGCACGCCGGGAAGGGCGCACAGCCATGCTTCCGGTGTCGATCCGCGGAAGCGCGAGATCTAAAAGCCCCAGATCCTTTGTTTCAACGCAAACCCTGGCCAATGATGGGTCCGCCGATTGAATAGCAAAGCGCACGGCAACGTCAGGTTGGGGGCACAAGTCGTGTATCGGAAAGGATACGGGTAAGGGGACCGTGCATACGCGTATTGAGCTTCGCTGTCGGTCTCGCACTCGCACTTCTGGATTGCGTCGACTATTTCCCGCATCGAAGTCGTCGTCATACTTTGATTTTCGGAGTGTTCTGGTAAATTTATCAATCCCTGGAAGATTGCTCTCTTGGACTCCCTCTCGCGACAAGCTGCTGCCTGGGAAGCCATCGGGACGAGTCTCTTCCGTAATGCCGTGGAGGTCGGCTTCGAGAACAGGACGACAGGTACGTATCGCAATCGTCAAAGCGGATGAAGAGAATGCAGTCTAACTCCTTGCTGCATAATGAGTGTCAAAGTACTACCAGCGCGATACCGCCGGTAACTGAGGGTTGCGTTGCGGTAGCGAAAATCGCGTCGCGAGACATACGGTCGGACTCAAATCAGAATGACACCGCTACCGCGACGTGAAGCTTCGTCCAGACCACGTCCAAAACACATCCGATGTACGGTGGGGAAGGATCGCGCAATGTTGTGTCCGAGCAGACGTTTGGTAGAAGATGAGAGTACAACGCGACGACGGGTGCGAATGAGGGGCAGCCTGCCGCCTCGCCTACGACCAAGGGGCATGCACGGCTGGCAACTGGCAACAACACCTGGGCATTCCACAACAACCTCGTGACATCTCCCACGACAATCAAATACACGGCAGACTCATCAAACGCGCCGAACAAGCGGTCAACCCCTCACCAAATACCATCTCATTCCGTACCTGCGCAAGCCTTACCTCGCGCACCTCCGGTCCAACGAGACCGCGTCCCCACGTCCCTCCACATGCGCCTCACAAAAGGGCATCACTACCCCTCTATCCCTCGCGACAACTATTCGCTGTAGACCCTGATCCTTCAGCGCAAACCTACGCTGGCTGAGGCGAGGCGGCGTGCGGCTCTGGCCTAGGTGTTCGCCTCCTTCAGCCGCGAAGGAAGTGTGATTGGCTAGTTGTAAACGCCACTAACTTTGCCTCGCAGCCAATTCTGATCGCTACAGCGAGGGTCGCGGAGTGCGCTAGGCTGTCCTCACCTCTTTGTGGTCAGCGGGTGCTGCGATTTGGTCGGGATAGGTATGGTTGAAGGATGTTCTGGAAGGTGACAATAAGGCGTAATGGGGTGCTATTCGTAGCACGAAAACCCCTCATGTTCTTACTATTTTGATTGACAACCCAGCATATCCTTTCTCTCATTATTGAAAGTAGTTCCTGTCGCTTTTCTTCTGTCATACTCTGGACTTTGGCTCACTGCAATACTGTCGTTACATCAAGCCTCTAGTTGGACCCTCGTCGCATCTCTTCTTCTCGATTTTGGGAACACAAGGCTTTTACATCTTCAATCATTTTTACTCAAAGCACCGAACAACCTGTCACGACAACGACCACCAAACACACAAATTCGTCTTATCATCGCTGTCTACTTTACAAACACAACGCTTTTGCAGCTTCAATCATCCTCTCGAAGAACCGATCAACCTGTCATAACAACAACCACAAAAACCAACATGGCACCAGCCCCCCTCCCTACCACAACCCTCACTCCCGAAGCCCCCCCAGCCATAATCCCCATCCCCAACGGCAGCTCCCGCCGCGATGGCTTCAGTCCCGGCGCCATAATCGGCATCGTAATAGCCATCGTGTGCCTCCTCCTGCTCGTCCCCATCATCGCCATCCTCCTCCGCCGCTACGAAAAGACACGGTTACGAGAAACACCCAAGCTCAGCCCTGGGAACCCGGCAAGCAGCAGCGATATCAGTCTGCGCAGTGTGCAGGAGAACCATAGTTTGAAGAGCATACTAGTGACGAAGGAGTTGTCGAGATCGAGTATGAGGATGGAGATGGATAGGGTGGATTCGGGAAGTGGGGTTCGGAGGCCGGAGGAGGTTTATGGGCAGGGGAGGGAGAGGGAGAGGGGGTGGAGTTGTACGGAGGTTAGGGTTGGGTGAGAGGGAGGGGGGGTTTGTGAAATTGCTTTTCATGATGACTGGTTATCATGTCACATGCGTGGACGCGATGCGACGAATGGAACGGACCTCTCAAGCTCCGCTTGTTGACACACAACATCCGTGATAGTGGTGCGGCAGGTTCGGCCACTATCGCGGATAAGGCGACCAGCTCCGAAGAGACGGTGGAATATGTCTTGACAACCACGCCGTGCAGGCTCGATGGTATTCAGTACCTCGATCAAGTCGCAGGAACAGTACGTAGGCGAGTGGTAATAGTGACCGGAGTCAGACTTAATGGATGAATCGGCTTCGTGATGGCGGCTGGATAAGTAATGTGTGATGGCTACTGAACGGGAAGCGTTGAAAGGGTGATTTTGTATCTTTGCCGATGGTATTGCGACGTCTTACAACTTCCGATAAAGATGGACCTGCATACGCATATTCTCCAGCTCAATCGGATACCTCAATCTCTCATCCAACCTATACCACCTACTATCATCCTCTTTAACCTTCTCCCACCTAACAATCTCTTCCTTGCCGCGCTCATTCAGATTCCCGCTGGCCTGCTTCAACAGCGTATGATCGAGGAGCCACTGCATCGGGTACTTCTTCTCGGCGCCGTTCAGAGTAACTGAAGAGTAACTTCCGGGGCTGTCGACGACGAGGAGAAGAGCGCCGGGCTGGAGGATCGTTGTCATGAGGAGAAGAAACTTTTGAGTTAGGGGGAGTGAGGCTGTGTAGAGTTCGTTCAGGGTGAAGAGGAGTGTGACGAGGTTTGCGTTGGCGAGTTGCTCGGTTAGTTCTTCAGCTGAGGCTGAGAGTACATCTTGCTGCTTGAACTTTACGGTGACGTCTTCTGGATTGAGAGGCGGGACGTTTGCGGCTCTCGCAGCGGCTGATGCGTATTTCGATAGTTCGGCCGGGACCGTGAGTTGTTTGGCAAGGTTTTCCACGACCACACTCCAGTCGGCGATGTCGATGGCGGTGATTTCCACATGACCTCTCGGACCATCTACATCTTCTCCATCTTGTGAATATGTGGTCGACATCAGTTTTTGCAAGCCGCCCAAAGTCACAATCTCTGCGCCCGCTCCACCACCCAAACACACAATCTTCCTGTTCTTCGGCTTGACTTGCTCGGTCTTGCCTTCTAGATCCTCTTCCTCATCTTCCTCATCAACCCATATCTCGTCCCTCAACTCCCACATGAGATCCAAATATCCCAACGCGCGACTCGGACTCCACCTCGCCGCATACGCCTCCAAATACTCCTTCTTCCCAAATGCAGTTGCAAAGTCGCGCTTGTAAAGATGGCCCTTGACTTCCTGCAACAGCGGCGTGATATCCGCGCTCATCCTCTCCGCGAACGAGTTGCGGAAAATGTTCAACAAAAGTTGCTGGAGTTCAATCGGAATATAAGAAATGCCTGGTCCTTTAGCGCCATTCGTCAGACGCTTTTCCGGTTTTTTGGGTTTCGCAGGTTGGGTTCCTTCTCTTTGCGCCTTGCGCTTTGCGTTCAGCTTGGAATTGGGCGCCATGGTTCTTGTTCTTGGTGTTGTTGTTATTTACAGCCGAGTGCGACAGTCATCGGACTAGGTGGGAAAGGATGGTGAAAGTCTCGTTATCGATAAGTGGTAAGCGAAGAGAGTTGTGATTCGTCCCCGCCAGCTCAGTGCTCGGAATGCGTTCCGACGGCTCCAGCTCTATTGCCGACCTCGGGATATGTAGTGACGAGCACGCAGCTTGACTCATCTCGATCTCGACGAAGAGGAGCATACGCGTTTGACTCAGACTGAGTCCTTATCTATATAAGTCGACAAGAAGACGTTCACGATTACAAGAACATTTCATCGATTTACCAACCTCACAATGCGTCTCCCATACGTCCCCGACCCGCCGAACTTCACGTCCGAAGAAGACAAAGCCGTCGAGCAGCGCGTCAGACAACGGCGAGGCGAGAAGGGCCTCATAGCTCTAGACCGGACATTGCTTCATGCTCCCCCGGTCGCGGACGGGTGGTAAGTTCCAAAGCATCATGCTCCAATCTTCCATATCATGCTGTCCTACCTAGTCCACACACGATGGACGGGCGCATAACACAGCCATTCACACTCCAATCAAACATCCACTTTGAAATGCGGCGAACTGACGGAGATGACCAGGAACTCATTCCTCGGCTCCATCCGCACAAAAACCAGTCTACCGACTTCCATCCGTGAAACAGCCATCTGCCGCGTTGCAGTTCTAAACAAGGCATGGTACGAATGGGAGTCTCATTCGCCGATTCTCGAATCAGCTGAAGGTACTTATATCCCCTTTACCATATTACCCTATCTCTTTTCTCTTCTTCTCCTCTTCTCCTCTACCCCCACTCCCAGCCCTCAAACACCTACTTACCCTCCACCAAGACGTCACAAAACCCCAAGTCCTCGCCGTCTTAAACTCCCAACCTCGGGAACCACTCGCCGACTTAGGCGAGAAGCTGGGCGCTGTACTGGCATACACGGATGCCATGACACTAGACGTTCGTGTGCCAGACAGTGTGTTCGAGCAGTTGAAGCAAGTAGGGTTCAGCGAGAAGGAGATTGTAGAGATCACAGCGACGGTCGCGGCGTATAACTGCGTGAGTAGGTTTTTGGTTGCTTTGGATGTGGGGGAGAGGAATGCGCAGACGGGGCCGAAGGAAGGGGGGAAGGAGTAAGCATCTATGAAACGATGGATCGATGTAATTGGCGAATAAGTCACTCAGCTTGGGCTGTCGGACGCACGTAGCATTGTATCTTTGCCGCATTCCAAGCACAGGCTTGACTCATCCTATATGTATATTCTCCATCTAGCTGCCTGCACATCTCTCTCCTGAGCTTTTATCGTCACCCATCACCCATTAAGCTACCCTACTCTGCCTCGCAATCTTCCTCCTCTGCGCCAACATATGCGAGAACAGGATGTAACTTCCTGGGACATAGATAGCCAGTATAGCCCAAAGCGCGTATCCAAACAACTCGTTCCTCTCACTAGCCAAAGGGATAGCCTGGTACACCAACCAGCACTCACTCGAGATACCAAGAGGGTATAGAACGAGGAAGGTGTTGTAGCGCAACCAAGTCCAGAGCTTCGGAACCCCGGCACCGGATAAGGAAAAGACGAAGTAGGAGTAGCGAATCACTTCCGTCACGCTCCACGCGAGCAGCATGGTGCTGTAGGCGGGCGAGTGGCGGGTCGAGAGAGGGAAGGCGGGGGGCGAAGCGATGAGGTGGACGAGGAGGAAGCGGGATGCGACTTGCATGAGGGTGGTCAGAAGGGGTGCTCGGACGAGGCCTGTGATGTTGTTAGCGAGGTTGATCAGGCCACTGGACATCCATCTCCCAATGTGCACAACCAAGATTCCTGTCGCGAAAAGACCCATTCAGGCGCGAGCGCAGAAGACAGGACAAGGAGAGTAGATAAACATACCGACCAAACTATGCAACACCTCCATCCCCGCAACCGTCTGCACACCCCTCGTATACCCCTCCAAATTCCCATACACCTTCCCACTGCCCAACCCCCTCTTCGTGGCCGTAAACCAATCGCCCTTGCCAAAGAACTTCCCCGCTTTCTGTGCATTCACCACCTCGTTTGCACCGATAGTAACGGTCTGGAAGAGTACGCCTGCCCATAGTGCGGCGGAGACGGCATTGTACAGCATGAGGTATGCGTTCTTCGCTCCTCCGGATGGTTTGGAAGGTCGTTGGTCGTTGGGGGCCGCGGCTCGCGCAGCCTGGGATGTTTTGGATTTGGGGGACATGTTCGTGGATCAATTGCGATCAACTGATTTGAAACAAAGTTAGAAGTGAGGTGCCGGGGTTTGTGTGCCTGAGGCCCAAGGGAAGCATGTAGCAAGCTGCCCTTTTCTCGCTATGCAGCTCGCTCTCGCGTACCTGAGGACCCTTGTTCTTGGCGCCTGATTCCCGAGGTCCCATCCACGTGGGATGAGATCATCATAGATTATTTCGCTGTGAGCGCCCAAGACCTTCATCATCGCAACGATATACCAAAGCTCTTTTCTCACAAATTTGAGCCTTTCGCAAGTTAATATTTCACGCGCAATCAAATCAGAATCATCCATATCGCAGATTCATCTAAATCCTCGCATACTAATTACACCCGTCATTCCTCATTCTGTTCCTCTTCCATCTCACCGGGGCAATAGGTCATACAAAGGAACTCGACCGCTCGCAGGTACTAGTACCATATGTAAATTTCAATTGAAAAACATCCGTGCAAAAAACGCCATGCTATGCAAATGCAAACAAAATGCGAATAGATATGATAAGAGAGAGAGAGAGAGATGCAAGCAAGGGTATCGTCAAAACACCCAACCATGACTGCGAGCCGAGATATATGTCCTTGGGGAAAAAGACAGAAGAGGTCCATTGAAGTTATCCATCTCTTGAAACTGCGTGATGCCGGCCGATCACAAGAATACTTGAATCATGCTCTTCTTATGGGACACGTTCTTATCGCAGTCCTCGACCACGCAGACCTTGAACGGGTTCGTGTTTGCGCGCGTCTCCTTGCCTTTGGCACTGCGCTTCGCCGATCGATTGGCTGTGCATTCGCCGCAGTATACCTAGCATTGTTAGTTTAGTTTGTCATCGTGCCGTCCGTCAGAACTAAAACTTACATGACCGCATCCCTTGACAATCCACACCTGCCTCTTGATCTCGTCGCTGCCGACACACAGCTGTTCTTCGCAATTGGGACATATAAGCGCCTCTCCTTCTTCTTCCGGACTCCGCGTGAAGCCCTCCGGGGCGGGTGGTGGCGCGTCGTAGGTAGCTGGAGGGGGCGGTGCTTCGCGTACCCGTGGGCCAATGTCGAAGCCTATGATATCGAAATCCAAATTGGGCGCTTGGAATGCACCGACTCGGATGTGCGGCGCACGACCCCGAGAGGCACTGCGCGAAGGGGCGACGGGTTCGTGGAAGCGGTTTGCGGTCCGGTTGACCTGTTCGTGGAATCGATCGACTTGGGCTCGGAGGTGGGTGAAGCGTCCGTTCAATGTTCCAAAGAGATCCATGACGTTATCCAACTGTTCGTTCCTCTGCCGTCTCCGTGCCTCGGCCTCTGGTAACGCGTTCGCCCGTATGAACCGCACATCCTCGCCATCGGATTCGTTCTCGTCGACTGGTTGAAAGTGGCGCTGACCGGGTATTGTGCGCGACGAAATGAACTCGATCTCGGGCGAGCTTGGTTGCGGCGCCGGTGGATCGGGGTGCCACTCCTCCTCGCCATTGTCGAGGTCGATGATGATGTCGAAGCCCCTTGGCAAACGACGTGGATGACGGCGATCCCGATGCGACTCTTGCTGTCCCCTGTCCTGTTGTTGCTCGCGTGCGTTGTTGCCATTGTGACTCGCCCCGTCGCCCGAATCATCGGCTGTCAAGTCAATGATGTCGTCGTCCTGGCTCAGGTCGATAGCCACATCGTCCTCGTCGTCCCCCGTCAGGTCGACAGACGCTGTTGTGTGTTGACTTGCCGAGCCAGCCGGCCGCCTGTAGTCGAAGCCATCGCCCGCGAACCGTCTGGATGCCGAAGACGCCATGTTGCCCAACCTTGGCAGGTGTAACCCGGCGGTATGCGAGTGCTGGGCGCTTGAGGAGGCGCGTTCTATGGGCGGGCGGGCGTGCGATCGCAGTGCAGACTCGAAGCTCGGGGTGGGCTGGCGGTCGAAATGATAGCGGGCGGGTGGGTCGTAGATGTCGTTAGCAGGGCTCTGCCTATCGTCGTAATCGTATCCGAAGGGAAGGCCGTGGTAGGTTGGGGGAGCTTCGCGGTTGTCGGGGAAGGAGCCATGTCTCCAGGCAGGCGAGGCAGACGCTTGCTCGCCGTCCATTTGTGCATGTGAGCGCTGCAGCAGCCGTGGTCAGCGCCTCTTCACCCTGTTGTTGTTTATGTTGGCGGTACTACCGCCGACGGCACTCACCTTCTGCTGTCTGTGCGTGAACCCACTCGGTCGTCCTTCGCCTTCCATGCCGGATGTCAGGCTGGTGATGGTTGCGGGGTGCGTGGTGAGGTTGGCGGCGGGCGATAGTAGCACCGGCGAGTGTCGAAGGGGGAAGGTTGGGCCCGTCTCGTGCCGTTGGGGGTGCTGAGTTCGGCGAAACTGTGGTGGCGCTCCTACATCCATCTGGGCAGCATGACAAACGCCAGAACGTCAAATCCAAAATCACCCTTCACCCTTCACCGTTGATTGGAATCGAACAATGGCTATAGACCGCTATTCTGCCCGCTTCTATCGTCTTCTGCGACCCAGCCCCTTCACCGTAGCGCATTGTTTTGCTGTTGCATGTGAGCTGGATCGTGACGTAGTGTTTTACAGCATGTGGTAGTATCTTATTCAAATTTTGGTCGTAAAACCCCCTGCCTAAATGCATCCGCGAGTGCCTGATTCTACACACTGATGAGATAGCAGCCAATGTGCACATCTGCCTGCCCTGTCACAAAACTTTGCGCCTTCAAATGTCACCCCTAAAGCATCAAAATACTTCAAACTGCTGCCAATACAACCAAGCCACCCTCTGGGTTCAGGGCCACTACATTCTCGGCCTTGCCACCCCAGGCAACGTCCTTCGCTGGAGCTGCCTTCCTCACCAGCTCGGCCCAGCTCTTCGACGCCTTGGTGTATTGTTGTACAGAAACGCTGCCGGTGCCGGCAATCGCGAGGAACGTGCCGGTATAGTCCCAGCTGCAGCTGGTGACTGGGCTCCCAGATTCTAATGTGTGAATTGCTGCCTGCTTCCGGATATCCCAAATCGCAACGCTGGAGGAGTTTTGCTGTACGACGGCGAACCACGTTCCGTTCTCAGAGAACTTCAGATCTGCAACGGGCGCGCCAGTCTCGAGTTCAGCCATCTTAGCACCAGTTTTGATGTCGTATATCCGAATGTTGCCGTCGGAGCTTCCGAGGAAGAAGAGCATGCCGTCAACGTGGAAGGAGACGCAGGTGATTTCGGCTTCGACGTAGACTTGCGAGACGGTCTTGAAAGTGGTGAGTTCGTGGATTGCGTAGCGCTTGTCGGCGCCGGCGGTAGCGAGCATCTTGCCGCTGGGGTGTAGCGACATGGATGTGACGGCTCCAGCGTGTGATCCGATCTGGGCAACCTCGTCGCCGTTGGAGAAGACCTTGACTGTGCCTGTGGAAGTGCCGATAAGAGCGCGCTCTCCCCACCATGCTGTCGAAGTGACGGCGCCGCCAGCGTTGAATGTCTCCAGAACCTTGCCTTGGGCCAGCGAGTAGACACCCGCGGTACCATCAGCTCCACCGAATAGGACCAGCTCGGCCTCGTTGACAGCGATGCAGCTGCTGCCTGGGAATAGCGAGTCGGTCGTCTTGGCAATGTCGTAGTTCGAGATGGCGTCTCCAGAGGCCCAGCCGGCGGGTACAGGTCTCTTTCGTCGCGAGCCAAACAGCCTGTAGTGCGTTAGTCGGGCCTCTCACATGGTAAGTAATCTCGGAGGGGATAAGACTCACTCCTTCTGTGTTTCGTCAACGAGGGCGGCAAGCTCCTCAGGCAGGCCCTGGCCGTCCACCTGCATCGCATCGCCCTGGCCGCCGCCTCCACTGACGGTGACGTTGGACAGAGCTTCGCGCGCCTCGTCTCGCTCTTTTGATATGCGCGCAATGACCCGTGTCGCCGCGTCGTTCTGGTAGAGCGC